AAAAAAAAAAAAAAAAAAAAAAAAAAAAAAAAAAAAAAAAAAAAAAAAAAAAAAGATTTTGTTACCTGCGTGTGAACTTTGGGGGCGTTAGGTAATGAATGATCTAGTTTGAGTTGGGCACACGGTCGGAGACGAGCTGAAATAGTAGGTGTTGTATCTGTTGTGCGCTTTTTAAATCGATTGGGTAGGAGAGGATAGGAATGATTTGAAGAGGAGCCAACCCATGTGGAAAGCTCCTGCTTTATTTTCCTAAAAGCCAAGAATATAAAATGAGGAGGAAAGGAGAAATAGTAGGATTAACTGCTACAATTCATTCTTCTCTCTTTTATTACACACTAGTAGTGTTCTTAATGTTAACATTCCTTTGTGCGGTGTGGTCCAGCACTCATGAGTGGTGACTCGGCCGACAGCACAAGGCCACGGCCACCCAATTACAAGAACAACTCCCCCCACCACTGTTCATCGTAATCAATCATGGGGTTATGTTATTGATTTTTCTATTTTCCTCTCAAACCTTGTTCTACCTTCTATCTCTACCTTAGGCTTCTGATTCCCCGGCGACAACTCTGTGTCAGCCCCGCCACAATTTAGGTATCCACTTTTTTCCTCCACAACCCACCCATTTGTTTGGTGCCCTTAATGTCTGTATTCTGGGGAGACTCTTTTGCTCCTGAGTTGTTTTCACTCACCTACATGCGCTTAGGGTTTGAGTAAAAGGGGTTTATAATAATATATCATAAACAGGGGGCTTCTAGTGATTTGCAAAATGGGGTTGTTCCGGCTGCTACGGAACTGGTGATCCGATTTGCTTTTGGATTTGTTGGTTATATCTTACAGGATGAAAGCTCCCCCTAATGGGTTTCTGCCCAATTCTGGAGAAGGTAACTCTTACCCTTTCTTATGTTTTACACACAAATTTCTTTTCTATTCGTCATTCCCCATTTGTTAAGTGAATTAAGTGAGCAAATGAAGTTCTATTCTTCCATTTCCTTTAATGTCGTGGCCATCTTTAACAACAATCTTACAACAATTGCCCACATTATTGCTGATCTTCTCTATAATGTTCTTTAAGAACACGATCGATGAGAGATTCTGAAGTTGTGTATGCTTCGGGCATGTTACAAATAAATGAACTTTTCATTGATTGATGCAAAGCAAGAGAAAGAAAATAAAACAAGAACCAACAACAACAACAACACATACAAGCTGCTACAAACAAAACTAAAAGCTTTGGAACGTTCTTTGGAAAGGCAGCATAAAGAACAAGGGATTTCATCTTCTTTAATGGGACATTTTAAAGGACCCCATGGAGGATGGAGGGCTTAGGATTGGAGTGGTGTGTGCCTTGGGAACCATAGTCTATAACATTTCTGAATTTTGGCGTTCAAATCTGAATCATGGGTGCACCATCTGAGAGGAAACCTGTTGGAGGTTGAGATTGATGATTGGGCCATTTTATCTACATTTTTACCGCCTCTACAAGTTGCGACCAGAGAAGACTCGTGGCGCTGGTCTTTAGAACAAGATCACATTTTCGCTTTATTTTGTATATCTCAATCTTCCAAATATCATAAGAAACAATTTAATACTGGGAATTTGGTTTGGAACAGGTGAAAGGAAGAACATCAATTCTGAGCTATGGCATGCTTGTGCTGGGCCTCTTGTTTCGTTACCTCCAGTTGGAAGTCTTGTGGTTTACTTCCCTCAAGGCCACAGTGAACAAGTATGTCCCTTATCTTCCAACTTAAATAAACATGTACTTATGGATAGTGGTTTGTGATGGTTCACCTTTCAGGTTGCAGCTTCGATGAATAAGGAGACTGATTTCATTCCAAGCTACCCTAACCTTCCTTCTAAGTTGATCTGCATGCTCCATAACGTCACGTTACATGTACGTCGCCTTCCATATCCCATAGAGCTAATGAAATCTCTTAAATCGAACTCATAAATATATAAAGGAATGAATATGTGAGCAGGACATGAGATGATTGTTTTGTGTTCTGAACCAGGCTGATCTTGAAACGGATGAAGTGTATGCACAAATGACCCTTCAACCAGTGAATAAAGTAGGTTAACCAGTCAATCAGTGTTCTATACTTCATATTGGATTCATTTGTACATTCAAATATTTTTCTTCTCAAAAGAATTTTCTGCTTTGCAGTACGAAAAAGAAGGTTTATTGGCATCTGATATTGGCCTCAAGCAAAACAGGCAGCCTGCTGAATTCTTCTGTAAAACTCTAACAGCTAGCGACACCAGCACTCACGGTGGATTTTCTGTGCCTCGTCGTGCAGCTGAGAAGATTTTTCCCCCATTAGTGCGCATCACATTTCATATTTTTAAAACAGTTTCATATAATCTTTCTTATTAGCTCATATTGAAAAATTTTAATTATAGGACTACTCGATGCAACCCCCTGCTCAGGAACTAGTGGCTAGAGATTTGCATGATAATTCGTGGACATTCAGACATATTTACCGCGGTATGGAACCTTTCATTTTTTCCCCTTAGCATTTTGATCTTCAATTAAAGATCTCTCTCATATTTGCACAATAGACTAATGTAGGTGTCTTTTGAGATGATGATTTCAATTCTTCATGTATTTTGTCTGTTCATTTTGATTTACCCACATGTACTTAGAAGAACATGAATATGAATTTTATCATTTTGATGAGCTTAGAAATGCATAAAATACAGGCCAACCAAAAAGACACCTTCTGACCACTGGTTGGAGTGTTTTTGTCAGCACAAAACGACTCTTTGCTGGAGATTCGGTGCTCTTTATAAGGTATAAAATCATCAGTTTGTAACTCACCTGAATTATTGCGTACACAAATGCTGATCCTCTCTACTGATGCACTATAGAGATGAAAAGTCACAGCTTCTCTTAGGCATAAGGCGTGCTAACAGGCAGCAGCCAGCTCTGTCTTCATCAGTCATATCAAGTGATAGCATGCACATAGGAATTCTTGCTTCTGCTGCTCATGCAGCTGCAAATAACAGTCCTTTTACCATATTTTACAATCCTAGGTAAGTACTGATTCATATTTTTTTGTTCTAACTCTACTAAAATTTTGTGCGATTTCAGTTTCAGTATTCAACCATCATTTCCTGAGTTTTTCAGGGCCAGTCCTTCTGAATTTGTGATTCCTTTGGCCAAGTATAATAAGGCAATGTATGCACAAGTTTCCCTTGGCATGCGATTTAGGATGATGTTTGAAACCGAGGAGTCGGGAGTACGTAGATATATGGGTACAATTACTGGTATCAGTGACATGGATTCCGTACGATGGAAAAATTCACAATGGCGCAATCTTCAGGTACTAAGTTCTAGTAATTAAATATTAGCTTTATGTTAATGGCTTGCTTCAGATGCTTACCGATGATGTATACTTACTGAAGGTCGGATGGGATGAATCGGCAGCTGGTGAACGACCAAACCGAGTTTCAATATGGGAGGTTGAGCCTGTTGTGACTCCTTTTTACATATGTCCACCTCCATTCTTTAGGCCCAAATTCCCTAAACAACCAGGGATGCCAGGTAATTAAAACCTATAAAAATTTCTTGCCAGTCGTGTTTAAGTTAATAGAAAGCGGCATTGGAAGAGAAGTTGAGAGTGCTTCTTCCTCTGTAATATGTTATAGTGACCTTGAGGATCGATTTTGCAGACGATGAATCTGAGATTGAAAATGCTTTTAAGAGAGCGATGCCATGGTTTGGTGATGAGTTCGGCATGAAAGATGCGTCAAGCTCAATCTTTCCTGGTTTAAGTTTAGTGCAGTGGATGAGCATGCAACATAATAATCAGTTCCCAGCAGCTCAATCTGGAATTTTGCCGTCCATGGTTGCTCCTAGTGCTCTGCATGGAACTCTTACTAATGATGAGTCATCCAAATTATTGAGTTTTCAAGCACCAGTAATGTCTTCACCAAATCTCCAATTCAGCAAAGCAAATCAACAGAACCAAGTTGCCCAGTTGCCACCAACAACGTGGTCTCAACAGCAGCAGGTGCAGCAGTTGTTACAAGTTCCTGCTAGCCAACAGTTGCAGCAGCAGCAGTTGCCACTCCAGCAGGAGCTACAGCAGCAGGTGCCCCAGCAGCAGCAACTCCAGATGCAACAGCCACAACGACAACAGCAGGCCTCCCAATCTGCTCTTCTGAACAACGGTGTTACTGCTCCGAATCATTTGCCAAATCAGACTTTGCAACAACCGCTTGTATACTCTCAGCTACAACAACAGCAGTTGCTTGCAGGCAATATACAATCACATCAAACTAGCCAACCATCCAATAAAAACTTATTTCAGACTACATCTTTATCACAAGAAGTACAGTTTCAGCCACAAATAGAGCAGCAACCTAGTCTTCTTCCGAAACACCAGCAGCCAACACAAGTTCAACAGGCCCCACTACAGTTAATGCAACAAAGTCTGTCTCAGAGAGCACAACAACAGCCACAAGTTCAGCAATTTTCACAGCCAGTCCCAACAGAGCAACAACTTCAATTACAGCTGCTACAGAAGCTGCAGCAGCAGCAGCAGCAGCATCCGTTGCTCTCCCCAGCTAGCCCACTGTTACCACCTCAGCTGCTACAGCAGCAGAATGTTCATCAGCAAAACCAGCAGTTACCACCATTGCCTTTGTCCAATCAGCATCAGTTCAGTACTAGTGGAGGCAGCTTACAAACAGAAAAACTTAACAGCAATGGCTTTTCAAGTTTAGGTCTCATGCAGTCCCAGCAGGCTCCTATAACCCACTCCCATAACCAATTCAAACCAACCATGGCAATTAGAGCATACTCTGGACTGACTGATGGAGATGCTCCGTCTTGTTCAACCTCGCCTTCCACTAATAATTGCCAAGTTTCAGCATCAAACATGCTCAATAAGAACCAACAAGGAGCAGCCACACTGGGGGGAGACCCAGTAGCTGAGCCTGCAACTAACCTGGCTCAGGACCTACAAAGCAAACCTGATTTGAGAATCAAACATGAGTTTCCTAGCTCAAAAGGATTGGACCAACTAAAGTATAAAGGCACTGTTCCTGATCAGTTAGAAGCGTGTTCTTCTGGGACATCATATTGTTTGGATGCTGGCACCATTCAGCAGACTTTCCCACTCCCTACATGTTTGGATAATGATGTACAATCACAGCCACGAAACAATATCCCTTTCAGTAATAGCATGGATGGATTGGCACCAGATACCTTATTATCGAGGGGATACGACTCGCAAAAAGATCTTCAGAACTTACTTTCTAACTATGGTGGTGGTGTTGCTAGAGATATTGAAACAGAGTTGTCCACTGCTGCAATCAGCTCTCAGTCATTTGGGGTCCCAAACTTGCCTTTTAAGTCTGACTGCTCAAATGATGTCAACGTAAATGAAGCTGGAGCTTTGAGTAGTGGACTGTGGGCAAACCACAGTCAACGTATGCGTACATACACAAAGGTTTGCCACCCCACTTTATGTCTACTTCCTTTAGTATCCCCTGTGAATAGTAAACGATATCAATGATTAGAATTAGACTTGATTGTTTACTACTTTTTCCGTTCTTATCTAGATGTTCAAGTGTATGAAAAATTTTAAATTATGGACTTGAGGGAAATCATAGGACATTTGTTGTGTCTAGGAACGAGGAAGAGATGAGGGACTTGGTCATATTTCCTCCTATGTTCAGTTCCTGTGTAAGTCGTTTTTGTAGTTATTTAAGTCAATCCACTAAAAGAACCTTGTTCTCTAGTAATTTATAGCTGTTTCTGAATCTCTGGTCCTCAACTTTGGCTTTTTATTAAATTTTAGTCGAATCATAACAAGTGCTACACTTGTAGATTGATGTTACTCTATAGGGTATAGCATGCTAGATCAAGTTCCCTTTTACATGCACCGTTTACAATGACATGATATCCACTGTTGTCGTAGTAAAGCTTGGATTCGAGCTTCAAGCTTCTGTAATTGTTTGAGATGTTTTGAACTCTGACTGAAACTATACTTTCAAGCATCTAAAACTGTTAATTCTGAAGGTTCAAAAGCGTGGATCAGTGGGTAGGTGCATCGATGTCACTCGTTACAAAGGATATGATGAGCTTAGACATGATCTTGCCCGCATGTTTGGCATTGAAGGACAGTTAGAAGATCCTCAACGAACTGATTGGAAACTTGTTTATGTGGATCACGAAACCGATATACTTCTAGTTGGTGATGATCCTTGGGAGTAAGTAGAATACTTATAAGGATTGTGCTTAATCTTTTTCTCGCTGCCCTTTTCATGTCTTGATATTTTAACCACCAACTGATTGTACAGAGAGTTCGTGAGCTGTGTTCAGAGCATAAAGATCCTGTCATCCGCTGAAGTACAGCAGATGAGTTTGGATGGAAATTTGGGTCACATTCAGGCTCCCAATCAAGCTTGCAGTGGAACGGATAGTGGAAATGCTTGGAGAGGGCAGTATGATGATAACTCGGCTGCATCATTCAACCGATAAGGAGTTTAATGTATAACACTGATCATTGCCGTCTGGTTGCCGTTCTTAATTAAAATGTGATGGAACGTTCCAAAAAGGTTCCAATCAGCTCCTGAGGTGAGGGGTTCGAACATGGAGATTGACTTGCCACCCAATTGCCATTTCTAGTTGGTTCGAACATGGTAGACGGCTAAAGCATATCATGAAGTTGATTTAGTTTAAGGCTATTGTTTCAACTTTCTTCACTCCGGTTGCTACCTGATTAAATCAAATACTAGTTGCATGGTGGAGTCAAGCTTGAAAGTGAAGACAGCTTGACCCACTTTGTTCCTGTAAATTGTTACACAAATATCGTTTATATTCCACTGTATGTAGCAGCAGCTGGGGTAACAACCCTTGGTAGATATGAAAATGAGCTTCAATTTTATGCTGTCCCTTAATTGTCATCAGGAATTGTAATTTGAGTGATGGTTTAGAGAAAGAAGGAAAATAAAAATGCTGCAAATTGCAATTACCATCACTGCAGCAACAGGTAGGATGGTTGTACCTTTGTTTGAAGGTTTCTTGTATACTTTTGGTGTTAAGGGGCCATAAAGATTCAAGGGTTGGAACTTATTTCCAGATGTCTCAAATATTGTTTCTAGCAGGATATTACAAACTAAGACCAACCATTCAAAGTAAACAAATAAAAATCACTCTGCAACACCCCTCCCCCCCGGGCTACCACTAAATTTCCAAAGGCAGCAGGTTTTCAAAGATTGTACTTGGGTCACAATCCCCAGAAAGCGTAAGTTACACTATTTCTTTAGCTCCACAAATGAACTACAAGCATCATACAATACAGCACTTCAAATACCTAGTAATACATGAGCTGTTGGGTGGTTGCAATATTTTGGAACCCACCGTCATATATAGTTTGACTAGTGCCAGCACCGCCCATCCCAATTCCCATCCCCATTCCCATGGCTGCCTGCTTGAGGGCATGCTGAGCGGCCTGTGGATGCATTAGCGCTTGTGCCGCACCCATTTTGCTCAATACCATTTGCCGTTCATAGGCAGCAAGGTCGGCTGCAGACAGACCTGGCATGTGTCCCACATTCGGTGGAGGAAGAGGGGTAGAATTCGTCCCTGGCGGGGTTGGCTTGCTACCCCATGAACACTGCAGAATTTGATTATAAAACGATTATGTGAATAAATGAAAGCTCAAGTCCTACAGTCGCACAAAATAACCTTTCCCAGTGAACCCGCATTTACTACTTGACCAAAAAAGAATAAGTTAGTCTCTTCCACGCAACACAAGTTCTCCACCCAAAATAACCAAGTTGAAATACGCATTGGCACTGAGAACTAGATCAAATCAAGATTTATTAACATTCATTTTGAGGACAATTGAAAATTTTTCATCTGTACCTTAATTGGTTTGCCACAGACAACTCTAGCATTGCCCATTTGGATGGCTAAAGCTGCTTCAGCATGAGTGCTATATCTCACAAACCCAAAACCTTTATCCCGTTGTACCCTAACATCTTCAATCATCCCGGCACCAAGGGCATGAAAATAACGGTGAAGATCAACTGACGTAACCTGCAGAGTATAAGCACTGAAAAATGATGCAATCCTGAAAGAATCATGCTATAACAGCACAAAATTAGCATGCGAAATCCAGTTTTTAGTCGTGAATAGGATTGCTTGTACTGCACATTATTGTGAATATATACACCATAAATTTATTAGAAAACCATGCTTCGGTGGAGAAAAATGAATGAACACAAAGATTTAACAAAAAGCACAGCCCACCACCACGTGAGGAGCCAAGAGAAGATACAAGCCAAACTTTTTAGATAAATTTAAGAAACCCATCACATTCAGGAGGCTTATGCCTTTAGAGATGGCAGAGAACTTTGACAAGTCCTCCAGTTGCAGGTTCACCCAAGTTAACTGTTTCACCAACTACTATGCAAATTAGTTACTATAATATTATCAAAAGAATTTCCTTGCCTCGGGAGCAAGATTCCCCACATATACGGTTGTGTATTGAGAATTATTCTCGGGTGCCTCCTCATTGGATTTCTCTTGACCACCCTCTGCAAAAATAGCCATGACAAGATTGTGAAAGTAAAACTAATAAGAAAAAAAATACAAATGGCTCATCAGAAGGACGCAGTTAGCAAAGAACGATGATAAAGAGAACAGATGGCTCAAGAAGGAAAATCGTTCACTGATGGCAATTCCTTATAAATTACTACATTAGATATCAAGAAAAAAAAAAAATTACCAACTGATAAAGTTGCTATATAAGAGATCTTTGACTCAATTCTTCACCCCTAAATGCATCGCTTGACGGTTTAGACATCCCTACTTCCTCTAAAATATTGTAAGTTTGACCCTACGTGTTTAATTGTTCAAAATTTTAACCAGAAATTCCATTCAATTTTGGATTATTCATAATCATCACATTCAAAATTAGAGATCAAAACCCAAAACATTGGTCATTAAGAAATTCACAAGGTACTTAAAATTTTGAGGTGGTTTAACTCAGATTAAATTTATAGAGATCAGAACCCAAAACATTGAGAATGTAAGTTCAAACTAGCATGTGTTGAATTATCAAAAATTTAATCAGAAATTTTAATCAATTTTGAATTATTCATAACCATCACATTCAAAATTAGAGATCAAAACCAAAAATACTGGTCATTAATAAGTTCACAAGGTACTCGAACTTTGAGGTGGTTTAATTCGTATGTTAAAGTTATAGAGATCAGAACACAAAACATTGAGATTGTAAGTTTGACCGTACATGTGTTGAATTGTTCAAAAAGTTGACCAGAAATTTTAATCAATTTGGAATTATTCTGAATCATCACATTCAAACTCAGAGATCAGAACAACCAAAACATTGGTCATCAAAAAATCCACAAGGTACTTTCAATTTAAAGGTGGTTGAACTCATAGGTTAAAGTCGTTTAACTTGGGATTACAAAGTTAGAGACACAAACTCAGCTTTATGAAATCTAGACTCTAGTATGATTACCAACTCTTTTTTGGCAAGAAATACGAACTTCTCGAAGAATAATTGTCTAAGCAGACTTTGGAATGATTATTAAATATAAACAAGCAAGCTACAGACCTTAAGGACAATACATTAAGAAAGACATGTCCGTCATTAGACAAGATCAGCAAAAATGTAGGTTTAATTATACACACTGAGAAAAGTTCTAATGCACGTGCCGGATATAATTATAGCTGAACAACATGCAAGAAACAGGTCAAGGGTCAAGAATGAAAAGATAGAGCAACATGAATAACCTCAGGCCAGGGCAAACAAGAAGAAGAAAAGGCTCCCTATTCAACAGCCAGAACTATCATGCGTGTACAAAACTTGGAAGATTTCAACCATCACTATAAAAGTTTGAAAAAGGTAAATAAAAGAATTCTATGAAGGTTACTAAAGCTGAAAATCTCGGAGTTACATATCTCTTGATGAAATACCTGAAGATCCAGTTGTAAGCTCTACAACACTTCTGGAATCTGAACTCTGTTTGTCATCACCAGAACTAGCACCTTTTGTGGCCCAATTACACCTAATCTGTCGACTCCCAAGCCACTTTCCTTTATGGTCAAAACAGAGGGGAAAAAAGAATATACAGCAGTTTCTAATAAACGAAACAACAATTCTCATGTCCCAAAAAGTGAGCATAGAGAAATGATCTTTATGGCACTTTTAACACCAAAGAGCATAACAATGATATCCAGTTAATGAAGTAAATTAGAACCTGATATGCATACTTTATTATACAAGTGTGACCTTAAAAAAAATATCTCATATAACTTTTTAAATAGTTTCGAACGAACCAAGGAACCAAGCCTAGACTTCAGGATCTCTATCCAAGGTTCAATCTTACACTGTTTTCAATTCCTTAATAATCCCATTTCTCAGTGCATTCCTTACATACATGGCTCAAGAAATGATATGGTTAACCAGGTCACTAAATAGATAAAAGAAATTACAACAGAAGATTTCCAAATGCAAGAGGGAGTAGGTATACCATTTAGGTCATTAATTGCACTTTGAGCATCCTGAAAACAGAATAAATAACTATCAACAGGAGTACGACTATGTCCTGAAGAAAGCAAATACAAGACTTCCTATATTGGTAGAACATAAGGGTGGCGTCCAGGAAGGGGGAAACATCTTATAGTAAACAAATGCCAAAACCTGCTCACTCCGAAATGCAACAAAACCATAGCCCCTCGAGCGTCCAGTTTTCTGGTCCCACATAACTCTTGCATCCCTGAAGTATTTAAGGCAAGTAAAGTTAGAGGTGCTAGATCAAGGTGATTTCAGTTGCATAGTATTAAGTTACGCTCTACCACATCTCAAACGTTTGAGCATTAGCCAAGCAGACGGACTCAAACAAAAAATTGGAGAGTGCACTTACGAACAACTGGGGTAAACAGAAAAGCATGCAAACAACGTAGCATCAGTAACCTCAGGGCTGAGATCACCAACAAATATATTAAAATGACCTGAAAAAATACACCATACTAAAAAATCAGCAGCCGCATACTACAAACTCATCCTCATTAGATACAGAATCAAAAGGAAAGAGAAACAATCTAAGCATACAACCAGATGTATCTTCCCTCTGACTACTTGCATATGCCCAATTAACTTTTACAGGTTGTCCAAACCTGTAAGAAAATGTATTGAAATAAATCTCAATCGGTTAATGTCAATAAAAATGCAAGAAATAATCTCACTTACAAGTTTCTTCCATTGAGAGAAATAATAGAAACTGCAGCTGATCTGCGGTCAAAGTAATCCACAAAACCATAGGAGGACTGCATAAACAGAAATAAAACTAAAGACATAAGGTCGGCACCTATTTATATAACAAAAAACAAGGGCATAGTTGTACAACCTATAGAACAAATCTAGTTCAAGTATCATATTCATATAACAAAAAAGCAGGTTCAAAGAAGATCTTGATCTTTGAATAACACTGGCTTATTTGAAATAATTCCACCAACTAGTAACTGAAGGAAGAAATAGTCGTCAAAATCTAATAGTCATTAATCGATGGTACTTATTATCATAATGGAAAGAGATCATATAGCAACAAATGGCAGTCTATACGAAAACCACACCTTCTCCTTCCTAATGAGCTTACATCCTTCAATGGGTCCAATGCTTGAGAAAACTTCTTGAAGAAGAGGCTCCGTGACTTGGGGATGAATGTTTCCAACATACCTATATTTTTCTCATTAGTTCGGATTGATGAATTATTAAGAACAACAAATGACAGAAATGTAATAGCAGCCAGTGTACTTTAACTCATTCAAACAACATATGTATCAGAATGGTATCAGTGTTAGCAAACGATGACCATGATAAGAAGTGTCAAAGGAAATCAATCAACACATGCCAAAC